GAGTCTCCTGCCTCAGCCTCCCAAGCAGCTGGGACTACAGGCGCCCGCCACAACGCCTGGCCATTTTTTGGTTGCAGCCATTATTGTTTGGCGGGCCCGGGCTGGGGATTCGAACCCACCACCTTAGGTGTATATGGCTGGCGCCTTAGCCGCTTGAGCCACAGGCGCCGAGCCCATTAATTTCTTTCTAATGACAGTTCTTAGATTGTCATCCAGGGCCATCATGCCAACATACTATTCAGTAAACACAGTTTTGCCAGGGCTCAGAGCAGTGTGATCCAGGCTCACAGCCCTCTGCTGGGCTGGCTTGGTGGCAGAGTCATTTTAGAGTCTGTCATCTAAGGAAGGGGCTATATATATTCTTTCAACAATCTTCCTCCATGATTTCTTTGATTCGAGTGTTAGCTGTACTTACAGGGCAATAGAGTTTGACAGGTTCCCAGAAAAAAGAGGTGTTCCATAGTACCAGTTAAAGATCTAATAGACTTCTACTGCAGATGACAAATTTGAGGGCTCTTTTAACTGCCAACCTACTTATTTTAGTTATGTGTATAAACACCCAGAGTCCATTTTACAGGGGCTCTGTCATCTGTGTCTTACTTAAATGCCAAGTAATAAGATTGTAAATAGCAGATACATTTTAATATCATAAGTTGTTATTTAAGCTATTTTTGAAAGGAGACTTAGCTTTAGGGAAATTTCTTTGGTATAACTAAAAGTCATTAATTCATCAAATTTAATGGGTACCTACTAAGTATCTGGCACCATGGTGAGTATTGGGGGCTATTGTGTACCCCATTGCAGTCCTTTAATTAGGTTTTCACATCCCCACCTGCTCTCATTTCCTGGGGAAGAAACAGGCAGGGACATGGAACCCAAATCATTAAGACTTTGAAATTCTAGGTGATTGCCATGAAGATCTGAAGCCTGGCAATTAAATAACCAGTTAGAATAAAATAAACCTGGCTTTTTAAAAGCTGTGAAAATTTTCTAGCCTCTTGTGTTCACTAGAAGTTTAATTTATATAAATTTCCTTTTGGTTGCTTTTTCTTCTCATGACAGGGAATTGAGTAGACATTGTATGTTTTTCTTCATTGTTTCAGATTTTGAGATACAGAGTGAAAATGAGGAGAACTCTAATCAAGACATGTTTGAGGATGTCGAAACACATGAGTTGTTCTCAAAAATGCCTGACAGGGAAGGCATTCAGCAATCAAATGGGGAGAGTGACTTTGAGAGAGACTGTGGCACTGGGGGGCCCAAGGGAAATGCTCTAGGGGAGGTGCCATCCCAGGGCAGAGAACTTGGCCAGCTCATAGGCCTTCAGGGTACCTACCTGGGTGAGAAGCCATATGAATGTCCCCATTGTGGGAAAACCTTCAGCCGGAGATCCCACCTAATCACCCATGAACGGACCCACACGGGAGAGAAATACTACAAATGTGATGAATGTGGAAAAAGCTTTAGTGATGGTTCAAACTTTAGTAGGCACCAAACTACTCACACTGGGGAGAAACCCTATAAATGCAGAGATTGTGGGAAGAGCTTTAGCAGGAGTGCAAACCTCATAACCCACCAGAGGATTCACACGGGAGAGAAGCCCTTTCAGTGTGCCGAGTGTGGCAAGAGTTTTAGCAGGAGCCCCAATCTCATTGCTCATCAGCGAACCCACACGGGAGAGAAACCATACTCATGCCCAGAATGTGGAAAGAGCTTTGGCAACCGGTCCAGCCTTAACACACATCAGGGAATCCACACTGGAGAAAAACCCTATGAATGTAAGGAATGTGGTGAAAGCTTTAGTTACAACTCCAACCTAATCAGACACCAGAGAGTCCACACAGGAGAGAAACCATACAAATGTACTGAGTGTGGACAGAGGTTCAGCCAAAGCTCAGCCCTCATTACCCACCGGAGAACTCACACAGGAGAAAAACCCTATCAGTGCAGTGAGTGCGGGAAAAGCTTTAGCCGCAGCTCCAATCTGTCCACCCACCGGAGAACCCACATGGTGGAGAAGCCCTATAAGTGTGGAGTGTGTGGGAAGAGCTTCAGCCAAAGTTCAAGTCTTATTGCACACCAGGGCATGCACACAGGGGAGAAACCCTACGAGTGTCTGACATGTGGGGAGAGCTTCAGCTGGAGCTCCAACCTTCTCAAGCACCAGAGGATCCATACTGGTGAGAAGCCCTACAAATGCAGTGAGTGTGGGAAGTGCTTCAGTCAGCGCTCCCAGCTGGTGGTGCACCAGCGGACCCACACAGGTGAGAAGCCCTACAAATGCCTCATGTGTGGCAAGAGCTTCAGCCGGGGCTCTATCCTGGTCATGCACCAGAGAGCCCACTTGGGAGACAAGCCCTACAGGTGTCCTGAATGTGGGAAAGGCTTCAGCTGGAATTCAGTTCTCATTATACATCAGCGAATCCACACAGGGGAGAAGCCCTACAAGTGCCCTGAATGTGGGAAAGGATTCAGCAACAGCTCCAATTTTATTACACATCAGAGAACTCATATGAAAGAGAAACTGTATTGAAGTGGCAAAGAGGAAAAAGTGAAGAGACTGGCCAGAGATGGACTTGCCACACTGCCCCAAATAGGGATGTCCCTTTAAAAGAGCCATTCTTCCTAAATGCTTTTTGGAGTTTTTGACAGAATCTTACCCTTGCTTATCCTCATTTCTAATACCATCAGTGGTTGGAGTCAACCCCCATACATGGTTAAGAACAGCATGTAAGGAGCAGAAGGTCTGCAAAATTGGGTCTTTTTCTGTAACATTTCATAGCTTGATTGGCCTCTCTCTTGATTCCTCTGTGCCTCAGTTTCCTCTTTGGTAAAATGGGGGGAAACATTTCTCCTGTGGAGTGAAAGACAGCATGGCCCTCAGCATGGGCTGAGTCCTCAGAGAAATACTAGAAATTCATTTGTGTGGTTCTGGTTGTTTTGCTGGCATTTTGTTGGGCTATCACCCCAAGCTATCAGCATCGCAGGGCCCCTGCCCATGTTAGAACCTGCTCTGTTTGGCATCAGTGTCCTTGGCTTTGACCTCAGGTCAAGGATGAAAGGGCTTCTCCAATTGTGAGTCATCCTTGCAGAGGTGGACCCCCTTTCTATTTCTAGAAAGTATCAGGAGTACAGACACTGAGATATGCCCTGACCTGATATCTCAGCATCCTTCCTGTTGATAAGCTAGACAGGGCCTTCTAGGATTCACATTCTTGTTTTTGTCTCTGCTTGCTATCCTGTGGTAAGTCAGGTGCCCAGGGGAGCACACTTGCTCTTGTGGGGTTTTGTGCTGGAGTATGTGGTGAAATCTGAGACCCCAGCAGCCCACCTGTGGAGGAGGCAAACAGTCCTGCATGCCACAGGGTGGGCTTGTGTCTTGGCCCACAAATACGTAGCTCCACAATTATTTCTAAATTATTCTGTGTAATTGTTATTTCTCTGTTCTCATATTTTTGATTTTATACATGCACTGGTGGCTTTTGTATACTAAGGACATTATTTTTAAGGAAGTGCTGATTTTAAGGACATATCTGTCCCCTGGAAAGATCTGGGCTTGAATCAGGAATTTGTCCTATAGATGCCACCCTTGATCTTGGTATACTACCAGGGGTTTGTTCTTGGGATCCTCCAGCCTGGAAACAATAACAATAGGGGAAAGATAACAGGTGAAAGGTTTGTTATGAGGAAAGGGGACAGTCGAGGAAGTGTTTCTGGGAATGTGAAGCTGCACCCTTCCACTCTTGGGGGCCTGTGCTCAGAATGGGTTTTGGTTCTTATAGGATGGATGCTCAATATGCCTAATAAAGTAAAGTCCCTTTCTTTTCTAGAGTCTGTCTTTTAACACATGTTAAAAACCAGAACTTGACTGTTAACAAATTCACACCTCACTTCCCCACCCCACGCCAACCACCTCTTATCCTGCCACAGAGTGATAGTAGTCTAAGCCCTTTAGGGAGTAAAATCTGTTGCCTCACAGAGCACACCTTTGGGTGAGCCTACACCATGTGTGCTTGTCCAGGCCACACACTTTCCCACTGCCTTCTGCAGATTCTACATTCAATCTGTCAATCAAGACCTGGAGTAGCAGCTTTGTCTAAGGAGCCACATGGGCACAGGAAATCAACTAAGACACCAGGAGAAAATTCTAGGCATTGTTGGTCATTGAATGCTATCGATAGGGTCTCACAGGAAGCAAGTGTCGCGGAGCATAAACCCGCATATTGAAATTGTATATTTAAATAAAGGGGTTCACAGCTCTCTCAGGCATGTGACAAGTTTATTTCTTTTTCTCCTGGCTTATATAGTCCATTGTGTACATGCACACTGTACCTTATTAATATTCATCACAATCCCTCTGCATATGCACACTGTACATCAATGAATTCATTAATATTCATTACATTCCATAACTCAGCTCATGAATAAACATCTTGTGACTGTCTCATGAGCAGATCCTCCCTAGTAATCTACAGATTAACTGATACCACTTTATCTAACATAGTCCTCCTAACATAATCTTCCTAACATAATCCTTTTAACATAACTTAATGGAGAACATGTTGCTAGCCATTACTTCTTTTGTTCTTATCTGCTGAAGCCTGAGGCTTAGAGAAAGAAGGTGGATTACTGGCCTCACCATTTGGAGGCAGTTACTTCAATTTTAAGGCATAATTAAGAAATTTCTAAAACATACAGAAGACTTATTTGCAAGCCTCTGCTCCCATGTGGGCCTTAAGTGGGGGGGGGGGTTACGCCCACAATCAACCTGGCCATATGGGATTCTGCCTCAGTTTCTCATAAGTATGCCTGCACAAAGTCTTTTCACTGCTCTCTCTCAAACAGCTTTTTTGGCCAGAGGTATAGAGGTTTTTCGCCTATATTAAACCAAACCAGATAGGCTGTGAATCCCCATAATTAGTTCCATTTCTTCACTTATTTGACCAACAGTCATGAGGACGTAAGTACCATCACTGTGGTGGGTGCTAGGAGGGGTTGTGAGCAAGAAGTCCTATCATCTGTCTAATAGAAGAAAGGTGCTCATTTGGAAAGATATAAGAGCTGTCCTACCAGTAAGGGGAATAGATAGGATGGTTTCCCAGCTAACATAAGTTCCAGAATTTGATTAGTAAAAGAAACTTGGGTTGTAGAAGATATTGGATCTTTAAATTTCAACTCAGGAGAAGAGTTGATACTAAGCTTTTTGAAGCTTTCTAATTTTTGTTTTTACTCCTCCCTACATGGTAGAAACAAAAAATATTCTGGGGGGAAAAAGGAAACAAGATTATTGGCTGGAATTGCAGAAATAGGGTGGTACCAGGTTTGAAAAATGACAAATTATGGTTCTTAAAAGGTTGATGGTTCACTGCTTCCTCTACATGGGTCCACAGAGGCAAAGAGGGGTCAATATATAGCAGCCTTCATGAAGCTCTGTGTTGGATGAAAGAATACATCTTTCCCTAAAAGATTTCAAGAAGCTGCTAGGCACAGAGGCTTATACCTGTAAACCCAGAACTCTGGGCGGCCAAGGCAAGAGGATCCTTTGAGCTCATGAGTTTGAGACCAGCCTGAACAAGAGTGAAACCCCTCTGTCTCTACCAAAAATAGAAAAACTAGCCAGGCATAGTGGCAGGCACCTATAGTCCCAGCTACATGGGAAGCTGAGGCAAGAGGACTGCAGCACTCAACCCAGGGTGACAAAGGGAGACTCTGTCTCAAAAAATAAAAAATGTGAAAGTAAAAGTAAAAAAAAAAGATTTCAAGAAGCTTCAATCCTGGTTGGGCACAGTGGCTAGCACTCTGGGAGGCTGAGACAAGTGGATTGCTGGAGGTCAGGAGTTCAAGACCAGCCTGAGCAAGAGCAAGACCCATTCTCTACTAAAAATAGAAAAATTAGCTGGATGTGGTGGCAGGCACTGGTAGTCCCAGCTACTCAGGGAGCTGAGACATGACTGAGATCACTGGAGCCTAAGAGTTTCAGGTTGCTGTGAGCTGTGACACTAAGGCAAACTACTGAGGGTAACAGAGTGAGACTCAGTCTCAAAATTAAAAAAAGAAATAAAAATTCCCCTGTACATGCCCATGGCCTTTAGGGACTCTGCTTGTTTTACCAGTTTGTTTCTAAGAACAAGGGAACAGCCTTAGGACAATTAATCCAGGGTAAATGGTTTTAAAAAAAAAAAAAACCAAAAACAATTGCTTCAACCTCAGTTTGGGGCCCAAGTCCACCTCAGCAAGTCCTTTATGTGACTTTGATCACTCTCAGAATGTCAGCTCACATTCTGTGAGAACCTTGAACCTGTCAGATGTGGCCTCTCTCAGATCCCCTGCAATGAACCAACAAATCTCTCTTTGTACTCAGTCCCTCACACCATGCTCAGCCTAGAGATGAGTTTTCACCTTAGCAGTAACAGTAACCTCTGCCTTCAGCCTCACCTCTTCTCCAGGGTCAGAACCTTGCTCCATCAGCTGTTTCCTCTCAATTTCTAGTCTCTCTCTTGCTACTGGCTTCTGATAGTGACCTGTTCACCTGCTGAAGTTATTCCTAGAGTCTCAAACTCAGCATTCCCAGAACTCAGGTACACCCCCACTCCACCCCGCCTTGGGCACTTCCTTGTATTTCCTCTGTGAGTAGCATCACCACCTACCCAGCCTCACCCAACCCCCAAACCAGGGAGTCACCTGGACTCCATCCTCTCTCACATCCCTCAGAGCTATTTGGGAACCACATCCTTCAAATTCTGCCCCTCTACTTACCATTTACCAGCCTCTGGCATAGTTCAGACCTTTGCCTGATGACTGCAACAGCTCCCTCCAACCCTGCCCCCTGCTTCTCCCTCCTTATTGCAGCCAGAGTGAGCATTCTTCCACTGCATGGGTGGAGATGGTCACCCCTCACCTTAAACTTTCCCAGACTCCTCACCTATAGAAAGACCACATTCCTTCCACGGCAGAAGTCTTTCTGATGGGAACCTCTGTGGAACCTCATCACACACCTGTAAGCCTTGCAAATCCTTGTTTCTGGAAGGCTCCCCTTCAATGTCCCTAGCTGAGACTTGCCTGCTTCCTTTTCTAGAATGCAGGGCCTCCTTGCCTGCGGGGGAGCACACCTGCCCACACTTTTCTTTTTTTGTAGTCTCAGGCTGTCACCCCGGGCATAGCAACCTCAAAGTCTTGGACTTAAGCGATTCTCTTACCTCAGCCTCCCAAGTAGCTGGGACTACAGGCGCCTGCCACAACATCCAGCTATTTTGTTGTTGTTGCAGTTGTCATTGTTTTAGCTGGCCTTTGCCTGGTTCCAACCCGCCAGCCTCAGTATATGTGGTCAGAACCCTACCCTATGGGCACCGCCCACCCCACCCACCTTTGAAGACATAGCCTGGGCACCCCCTCCTCCGTGCAGCCTTCTTTACACTTTTCTGGCAGACGTGACCCTGGCTGTGCTCCCCTGCAATCTCTCATTTTCCTGCTGCAACTCTCCAGACACCTGCCTGTTGCTGCCCCTCCTCCTCTTCCCTTTGTTATGTTCATACCTGTCCTAAGGTTCAAGACTTTTTCTCTTGCTCAGTACATGTGATAGGAACTCAAGGAATATTTGCCACTTGGTTCTCTTCATAGAGATGCACATATGCACAAGAGGCAGAGGGACCCCAAAATTCTGGCCCAGAAAATTGAGTAGGTTTCCTTTGGTAAGATGATAAATAATAATTTTAACTTCAGTGACCACTCAATATTTACCTGCATACGGTATGCACACAGCATAAGACCAACCAACCAGTATCTTTTTATCAACAGTTTAAATCAACAAACCAGTATCTTAATGAAACAACTTGGATTTTTGAAATGTCACATAATCAAAAGCCAGTGGAAAACCATGCATCTTCTTTATTGTAGCTGAATCTGTAGTACACAATCTATTTTTTTTCTGTTCACACAAGCAGTGAAACTTGAGACTTTATCTTACTCTTACCCTTTAATCCAGTATATCAATATAACTCTATCCTGAGATAGTTCCCCTTATTTTAAACTTTTTATTGAAATTTAGCAGAAGGGCCAAGCATGACAGCTTATGCCTATAATTTCAGAACTTTGGGAGGCTGAGGAGGGAAGATTGCTTGAGCTCAGGTGTTCAAGACCAGTCTGGATAACAGGAAGACCCTGTCTCCACAAGAAATTTTTAGA